GTGCGCAAAATACTTTTAGAATGTTTTTGTATAACTCATTCTCCACTGAGATTTAACTTTCATAATTATGTCAGGGATTTTAGAAATAGGTATTTGGTTATTTTAAAAAGGACTTGAAATTTAAACCATAATAGTAATTTAGGCGCGGTGTCCTGATATAAAAGGGGTCTGATAATTCCCACTAATTATTCCCTGTTTTCTCATTTGGTTCACTTAATTAGAAAACGTAAGACTATTCTGTAAGCGTTCGCTGTATCAATAGTAATTACAGCTTTTAACCGATTCCATACCTTATTTGTGTACCTTATCAAAACTTCTGTCACTAATTGAAAATATAAAAAAGTCAAAATTATATTAATATGCATTTTCCATCATAGTCTGCATGTTTGCGTTCATTCCGTTTTTACTAATAGACAAACTAGTTTATGAAGAAGGTTTAAGTATATATCTTATAAATATTTTTATTGCATAATATAACCTAATTTATATTTTGTCGATTAAAAGCTAAAAGGACATTGCTCTGCGCCCATACATTGTTCGCCCTGGAACCAAGAGCATCGGAAAATGATATATTTTATTTTTGATCATTAGTAAATTACTATTTGATCTTATTTTTATAGCGGACTAGATGCATAATAAATATATTTAAAAAAAGTATCAGATATTGAGGTTATAATCGAACCATGAATATTACGGTTTTTCATAGATCCGAGTAATTTTTAACAAACTGAAAAACGATATCCTAAAACATTTAGCTATTTCTAGTACCTATCTACATAATTAGGTATGCAATTTTGTTCTAAAGCTTAAGTGTATGTAAGTGCTACGTATAAATGCATAGAATGTATTTAACAAACCTGCTTTCTGAGCATTGGTTTTGAAATGAGAGATAATGTTTGTGTATTAATGTAAAAATAAAAATATATGTATATAATGGCTGTTAGCATTTAGATGTTGTCATTAGCTTATACGGTACGTTAAGATACCTAGTACCTAAATGTATAAGGATTTAGGCTGTCAGTCACGCCGCTAGACATGCAGTCGAACAGCGAGCGTATCAACCACGGTTTCAACCAAGTTACAACAGCGCTCATGAACAGCGTGAATATTATAGACTACTATATAGTACATTTGCAAGCGTGTGCACCTGGACGGCGCTGTTCAAACGCGTGACTATGAAACCAGCCCTACCGACTTAGTACCTAATTTTAGTATAAGTTGTTTTTACACGTACATTAACTTATGTTTGAATTAGAAATAAAACACAGATTAATTTCATGTTTATTGTTCATTTTCTAAATTGGAAACAAGAATATTGTCTAAAAACTGTGCAGGGATGTCGATATTATTTAGATGTCTCGTAAAGCTCAAGTACCAAATAATGGTCATAAAATGGGCGCATCAACCGATGGTTCTGCGTACAACGATGCAATTACAGCAATATTGCACGATTGCTTCTCTGTTCATCTTTAAACAATATTGTACCACCAGCAGAGCCGCTATTTACACAAAATACACTTTCCATTGCGTATGCGTAAGTCCGTTTATGAATGATAGGTTATCGTTTGAGTGGTACACAGTTCCAAAAATCACAGCAAGGTAAGTCGTTCTTGAAAGCAATCAGAGTCCGTTAATATAGCCAAGTCGTAATGTTCAATATATAGTCCCGAAAGTCACCACAACAGCGATACAATTATGTACAAAGACAATTACAATTGTAAACGACGTGTAACTTTGACAGAATTAGAGATGACGGTACAAAGTAGGCATGTCCATTTGAAATCGTTTAATCGATTGTTTATAGTAACAGAATCGATTTTCTAGATCGATATAGATCTGAAGGATGCTTGTCCGATGTCGATACAGAAACCTCGCGAATCGGACTTATTCAAGAACTAGCTATATTTCAAACGATTCAATAAAAACTTTTGCAGAAAAACTGTTCTGTTCTGGGTTCGATCCCGGGGTCGGGCAAATTATTATTGGATTTTTATAACTTGAAATTCGCAGTAGTAGCACGGAGTCTGGATTTGTGTCCGGTGTTTGGCAATACGCGCATCCCCTATTACATGGGATGTATCACATAACAGTACTTACACACCTCTACCTACTCCTTCTGGAAAGTACTGGCGTAATGTTATGTTTATTAATTTAATGATTTTTCTATACAGTTACTTGTATTTACGGTAAGCTATCGTCAATAATAATCTGTGTCTATATTAGGCATGTTTGAAAATGTCGCGATTGATCAAAAATAGATATGTTAATGCTTGATTTAATCGAGAATCGATTCTAGTATATTCAATTTGCATCAATTTGGAGATCGTATTTTTTCATGAGAGACTGACAAGTGACCATTTAGTGACATCAAAAATAGGAGCGCCAAATACGATACGACTTATGAATATTTCCTAAGATTTATTATAGCCGTACGTTACAAACAGTATACCATCTATATAGTATATATCATCTTTTGTCATACGATAATATTAATACCATAACACTGTCCTACTTTACTTATAATAACACGTACGTATCTACTTCTTCCATACTAGTAACAATATTAATAATAATATCTGTATCTAGTTTGCAATATTGCTCTTTTTAAAAAAACACATTTATGATTAATGCAGTAACGATAACAGTTTTTTTTTGTAAATTAATTGTCGTAAACTCGTAAGTTATCGTTTAGTAAGACGTAAAATATACTCCTGTCTAAACGATCATTAGAAAATCCTGAATAATTATCTTTACGAATATTTTTCTTCAGCAATATTCTAACTACCTATTCAAAATCGAGTATGACATTCAATAGGTATAGTAGGTTTTTAAAATTATACTTGTAGGAATAATATAAAAGAATATAAAGAAATGGTAATATAATATTTTTATTGTAGCTTCTTTTTGCAACTTTATTCGAAATAAATTAAAATGTAATTCAGATTAAAAAAATATACAACAGTTCATTAAAAATTCAAAAATCGATTACAATCGATTGGGCATCCCTAATCATTTTCCGACACCACATGATGTTTGGCGAAGATGGCGGCGATTAATGTTATTAGTCGAATATAATACTTTTTAATGTTCATTTTTGCATGCAGCTAGTCAGTGTTATAAATGTATTTGCAACTAATAAAATAGAAAATTAATTATCGTGTATGTCCGATACTTTTATTACACAGGTTTTGGACATTGTCCTTTCGTGCGTCCTGGGACTTGATTTAGTAAATCAATAAATACATAAATTAAACACTCACGCCTGTCACCCAGAGGTGAAGGCAGTAACTACGGACTTCCATTAGCCATATTCCTGGCACACCTCTCTCGCCTCCTCCACATCTATATGGAGCATGGACAAGTTAAGGGTACTCTTAATTTGGTCTACTAAGAGTTTAGTAAAAGGTTTAGGTATATATGTAGCCTTCTATTTCTTTTTAATCAATAAAGTTGTATAAAAATAATTTCAAGGTGGAATTGTTTATCTTGAAGATTTCTCAAGAAGTCCGCAGCGCTTACGGCCTAATTACAAAAAGTAGTTTATAATTAGTCTCAAGCTTAAACTAGAATCCATTTTACTAAAGAAGTTTCACTGAAATATGGGAATTAAAATGTGAAATATGGTGTTTTATAATAAAATGTCATATTTTGTATCGAGCGGCGAGACGCGGCTACGGGACGACTTTAGTCAGAAAGACTGTGAAATAAGACGGTGTCCGTCATATTACTAACTAAAGAAAACCCTTAGCCATGGCGCTAAAGCTTTGCCAAATTTGATATTTGCTGCTTTAGATTTCAATTCACATATTTTCCGCGAAATACTTAAGTGAAACAGACTCTACTTTATAACAGAGACTAATTTTCAGCTTTTTTTTAATCAAACGGAGAACATACGATTTTATAAAAAAATAATAACTTAAGACTTGCTCGTAGCTTAAGGATGTAGTTTTCCGGCCCAACCCTTCACTTCTTTAAATGAAAGTCCAACAGAATTTTTTTACCGACAATACATGATTTCCTGGCCGATTCAATTATCAAGTTCCACATCAAAAGCCTTACGGCAAGTGTACATTAACTATCAAATAAAAAATTATGAGCAAAAAAAATTTTGAACGTAAAGTTAAACTAAACAAGAATATTATGTTAAAATCACTATTTTTAGCAGCTAGGCTGGCTCTGGCATTTTGAACGGCAATTGCCCTGGTTGGTCCGTTGTAAATAGGCGGCGGTCGGCATTTACCATCAGGTGAACCGCTTTGTGCTAGGGCAGGGAACTGGTAACGATCACACAGTCCACTTGATGGTAAGTGATTGCTATGACCCATAAAAATCTACATCTATCCTCAATAAAGAATCAAAATGCAGATACGTTGTCACCTGTGAGGAATAACATGGAATGCCTATTTTCCAGTAAAAAGGGTCTCCGGTTCTCTACACTCACCATACGAAACACAGCAGTGTTAAGCTGCTATTTTACACTGGTATTCTGTAAGAGCGTGGTCCATCCCCGGTTGAGCCGACCCATTCGTGCTGCAACTATATTACTAATATAACTGTAGCCTAATACCATGTAGTAAAACCGTCATTTAGCGACCACCCACTTTCACTACCACTTTCCTTTTCCACTGTCGACCACTTCACTTACTTAAGCATCTATACGTTTGAGATAAAATGAAAAATGGTCAGCATCAATGTCATATTATTCATCTTTATATATAAAAATTACGTGTCACATTGTCCGCGATGAACTCCTAAACTACTAAACTGATTCCAAAGAAGTTTTGCACACTGTGTGCAGTTTGGTCCAACTTGCGAGATAGGATGGTTTTTATCCCGATAAGTGACCCTGAATATTTTTTATCGAGATTTAAGGATTTTAATAGAACAAAGTATCATTGGAGAGGGCGGAACAACATCTGCAATAATTTATGAAGAGAAAATACAAGAAAACAAGTCAGTAGAATCAGTTATATTTTAATCCAAAAAGGAAAATATTACAATTATTTCTTTTTTGGAGATGGACGTTGTGGAGTTTCTGGTAAGAGCGCATTTTGTAGTCCATATCCTGGTGATGGCGGAGGCTCCAATAAAGTTGTCCGGCCATAGGCTGGCTCAGCAGCGTACCTGCCGCTTCTGATGTAAAAGTAAGCTGAATTAAATATAATTGAAATTCAAACCGTGACTGCGTCAATTTGTTGTTACTGGTAAATTATCTAGCTACGATATCACAGATCTTAATTCTGAAACGCAGCTGAAGCCAACAATTTTAAAAGAAGACAAAATGTTGGGTATTGTATATTGTTTTGTCTTTTATTGACTAGTATCGCTGAAAATACTACAGTTTCTCCGTGGATCACTCTGGCCGCAAAATAAAATGGGGCCCCCATATATATAAACTAGTAAGCAGGCTTAGCTCTGCAGCGTTTATTGTGAAAAAGATAAGAACCGTTATTTGTGGTGAAACAGCTAGATAAGACTATTTAACATATTTCCATGAAATGTTACTATAGGGTAGAACTATTAAGCTATATATTTATGTTATATATATATAACATAAATCCAGAGGAGTTCCGTAGATAAAATTTTTAAGTCATAAATAAATATTAACTTTGGCCTCTCAGTATATTTACGAAAATGTATATATTAGGTACACAAAAAATAGTTTTATTATAAATAGTGATATACATTCAGTAAATACTAGGAACAAGCACAAGCTAGTTATGTTGATTACTCGACTCCAAAGAGTCAGTAATTCTTTCAAGGGGCATTATATACGCTTTTACAACAAAGTCCCAGAAAATATGAAGGTCAATCTATCAAAAAGTTTAATTTTTTATTAAAATAAAGCTCTATAAAATGGGTTATTAGAATATTAAAGAATACGTAACTGGTGAATAACCCGTGACAGTGCGCTGATTGCTACAATGCTGTTTCCAATGTATTATAATTCATTAGTCCTACATTTCAAATTATCGTTCTAAAAATGTCTCACTAGATTATTTCCTAGTTCTTCATAGGCAGATGTTTTTTATCCGAATACATGGTAAAAGTATAAATGACTTTCGATATTATGTATGAATGACTTATAACCTATGTTAAGTAAAAATTATTCTATTATAGCATATTCTAATAGATTGATAGATAGATAGATAGAAATTTTTTATTGCACTCAAACCAACAAACATTTGGTACAAAGGCGAACTTAATGCCAATAAGGCATTCTCTGCCAGCTAACCTTTGATAGTGTGGTGAGAGCTATGGGTAGAGCCTAATACAACCTAGCCTACATTCGATCTTATTCCATATGAGTTAAATTGGACACAGCTTAACGAAGAGAAATGATTGCCATCTATAAAATTTCCTTCGCGGTTATTAAATTAATTCCGAAAAATTTTAAAATTTTAATCAGCCTGGAAGACATCAACATCGCTTAGCGTATTAACTCTTCTTCTTCTTCTTCTTCATTGGTCCGTGGAGTCCACTGCCAGACATACATCTCATTTGCCTTAATTGTTACGTTTGGCAGGCGGATGGTGCTGCCGGTATCTGTTTGGTCATTACTGAAGCCATAAAAAATTCCGATATTTCTCATAACCACCTCTTACGACATCCAAATGAAGAAACGGGATGATGGATTTATTTACGCAGCTACCAATGTCAATAGATCTAATGAATAATTGATTGGCTATATTATGATGTGTGGTCAAAAGGCTGTTAAGAATTTTATAAATTCATTGGTCACAGGCCGTATCTTGGTCTCAAACTATTCGGAGCACAAAAACGGATGACGACGATGTGATGATGTTTAATAATATGTACCTATTATCAGCTTGTACAGCAGTACCGGCTTGTCAGGCTATATAATTTACTTTACTCCATAGGTTTTTGTGATTGTGAACCACTTTCGAATTGTTTCAGGCACTAACGAAGACTAAATTATTTAGTTGAATATATGTAATAATAGTGAATTTGTATAATACTGACTGAGGTCCAGGCGGCGGTATTCCTCCGCATCTAAGAGTTTGAATTATTTTATAAACGTCATTGATGGTGACGTCTTCCTAAAAAAAAACAAATACAAAACTGCTTAATACCTTGAATAGTAAAGTTCTAAAACTATACGTTTTAACTAAAAATGTGTAAATATAAATATATATTAAATACTAACAAAATAGTCATCGTCGACAACTAGCAGTGGAGCATGAACACAAGCCCCTTGACACTGGACTGTATCAACTCCAAACATGCCATCAGCTGAGAGACCTCCTTCAACACATTTTGTGGCATCTTCAACTGCTTGTAGAATTTCATCAGATCCACGAATCATACAAGGCGTTGTTACACAAACTTTAATATTAAATTTACCTCTATATCGTCTAAAAATAAATTTAAATGTAAAGTTACATTTCTCCATCAAACAATATATTTAAATATTCCATAGAAACGGGAAACAAAAAATTCTGTGATTGTTTAAGACAAAACAAAGTAAGACCAAAATCTTCATTTTTTGGTACATATATGTAACACAGAACTATCAAATGGAATGCCAAATGAATATACTACAATACCCTCAGAACAATAACTATAACAAGTTATTGTTCTGAATCAATACCAGACAAATTAAAGAGTATCTGCGTCACTCATCCGCAATACTAGACATAGAGTATCCACATTTGAAAATTACAGTAACATACCTCTTTGCCATGGTATAGAATGTGGCATATTCATAAACCCTCATCCGTGGGATTGAAAGTATTTCAGCTACTTTATGCATAGCTGATATAGGGATCCAACCTATTTGCCTTTGAACAATATCCAATGCTGCGCCTAGCGCTGATCTTTGCGCTCCCTCAGGATAATTTTGGATAAGAGCCTTCAAGCGCTAAAAGTTTTATCATATTTTAATTTTTTACGTGTAAGTAATATTTAAAACAGCACCTCTTTTTATTTCAATTAATTTTAATTATTTAAAAATAAGTTCAAGACAACTAACAGTCAAATTGGCTTCAGTGAATTCAAAGGGCGTATTTGGATTATTATCAGAGTTGTCTCTATGAACAAATAGATCATCACTGCAAAGTAACTTTGAAGTTGATAAACTTCTCAGTATATTCTGAAACACGTATTTGATATTTTTAATAATAGTGAAATTACTTATCTACCTATGAAATTAATAAAAATCTAAAGCCAACATACCTTTGATAATCCACAATATTGATGTAACATTAACATATTACTAAATTAATCCCCGTCTTGATAAAAATTACAAGTATTTTCCTATTTCTTGGAAATATCAATATCTTAGTTCAACAGAATGACATACTATTTTTCTTTTTTCTTTAAGTTTGACATCTGTTATCAAATAGTTTATGTACGATAAAAATATAAATACTTACCTTATAGATAGGTACTATTCCTAATTGAAATCTGGCTTAAATTATATGGCAATTGTCGTTTTGAAAATAAATTTTACGTGGTAGAGCCATGCTGCAGCTATATTAGTAGTATAGTTGTAGTACTAATGGGTCGGCTTGACCGGGGAAGGACCACGCTCTCACAGAAAACCAGCGTTAAATAGCAGCTTAGCACTGCTGTGTTTCGTATGGTGAGTGTAGAGAACCGGAGACCCTTTTTACTGGCAAAGAGGCATTCCATCTTAGTCCTCACGGGTGACAACGCTTCTGCATCTTGAGTCTTTATTGAGGATAGTTGTAGATGTCTATGGGTTACAGCAACCACTTACTATCAGGTGGACTGTGTGCTCGTTTGGCACCCTATCCTATCAAAAAAAAATTTAATGTTGAATGACACTAGTATTGTTGGTTCAGTTAGTATTCCTACTAGGATGGGGATAGAGTTACCAGATCCCACAAGGAGTTTTCCTGGCAATATTACATTGTAAAATCTCGCGCATGTGCCTGAAATCTTATGCGTAACAAAAAATACGAGCCAGATTAGATGAATGAAATATTAAATTAACTTCGAGATTGATTCATATATAATTATATTTTGTATGTAAGCTGTTTAATAAATATATTAATTTTTACTTCTAATTTTTTTCTCTTTCTATTTAAAAATTCCTGACAATTTCAATTTTTTCCCGTTTCCCTGACAGAGAGCTAAAATTCCGGACATGTCAGGAAAATTCCTGTCATCTGGTAACCCTAGACGGGGACGAGTGCCTAATGAAATCACTTCGGATTCTGTTTGTTCATCAATGAATAAAAGTTTAAGTTTTAGTAATAACTTTTTAACCGACAGTTGATAGCCTTCCAAGAATGTACTAACATCTTGATTACGTTTTGAAATGTTAAAAATGTTGTGGCGTCTGATTTTTGATACCTGAACACGTAACAATATTTAATTAAAAATAGGTGTACAACATTCCCGCATTCACCTCTATGGACAATATTATGGGTTATGTTTAATTATACGATGATTTCTATACGGTGTGAACAGTTACCTCTCGTTGACGTCGAGGGCAACGACCGTGGTGTTTATGCCAGTAAGAGTCTCACATCCATGAACATTTCCCCTCGTAAAAATAGTTATTTTGGCACCACGTTGACTGCTAGCTTATTGCTGATTTTAATTTTTTAAAAGAATATTATTATCTTTGGTCTCTCAAATATTTATAAAAATTTTACGTATTTATTTACTTAAAATGACAAGCTTCCATAGGAAATAGATATAAAACGCAATTCTCTCATAAAACGTGTGACAAAGGAGCACATAGTCCGCTGGATTAAGTGGCGTAGTATGAATTGCCTAGGGCTGGTAGAGCAAAAACGCCTCTTTGTGTAAATAAGTTGAAGAGAATATTATTTTTATGCTGTATACAAAAGTATATTAATTTCAATGAAGGTATAATTGCCTAAAAATTTGTAGAAAATATTATAAAAATAGTTGGTTGGTAATCAACGCATTCCTTGGTGGCGGCGAAATAATCTATTACAGCATTTTGTTTCAAAGTTCTCGTAAACAACAGCTATGGGAAGTGCCAGAATAATGTTAGGACTTCCGAAAGATGACTCGTGCTATTTACACCAAACATAAAATACTCCGATGACCTTGTAATTATTACCCAAGTAATCGTTAATATTAGATATTTATAATAAATTATTTTAACTTTTAGACGACTTAACGACGAAAAAAATTATGAGGTTCTCAATTAAACTGTTTAATTTCCAACTCAATTTAATTTTTACTTAAAATAATTTTGAATGAGTATTTGAGGCTAACACCAATTTAAATTTGAAAAATACTTCCACTTTTAAGGGTGACAAAATAGCGGATGAAATGTATAATGTGTCTATCAACTCTGACTCTTGTTGTTATCTATAACTTATGACAGTCCATAGTCCACTTAAAAGGGCTAATTATTTGATCAACTTTAAAAAAGTAAAAAACCTTACTCAAGAAACTAAACGAATTACATAAAATAACATCCATTTAATTAAATAGGTTCTAAAGACGGTGCTAAGACAGCGTACCAACAAAATTTAAATATCGATTCGCAAGCTATCAAATTATATGGAAATTATAGTTTTTTAGTTCATATTTTGCCTGTTCGTGTATCACGGATCTCTAGCTAGTACAATGATAATAATGCTAATAAAATTAGACGTCTACCATACAGGGGGCTCCACATGGCAAATGCGTTGTCACCTGTGAGAAAAAGATGAAATGCCTCATTACGAGTAAGAAGGACATCCGGTTCTCGTCACGCACCATTCGAAAAACGTGCTAATATGGTAGAGCCAAAGTATTCGTGCTTTAGACATAATACGCCGCAGCGTGGCTCACGCATGTATTAATTTCAGATTTTTTGCCGTTTAAGTGGCACTGTAAGAATATCCACTAACCCATGTTATAGTCCCGTAGGTATCATAAGAGGCGACAGAGGGAAATTGAAACAGGTGATGAGCAGCAGCATCTTCCAGATAATAACTCAAAGTAATAAAAAAAACTACGATTGCCAACCCGCCTACGAAGTGTGGCAACTATGACAAAATCTGAAAAAGAAATGAATTGCAGATAATTTCAGACGTCTCGCATCTGTGGCGCAGCTGCCTGTCAGTAGTTTGGAAATTTTACATATGGCGTAAACTAGATGGTTACGCAGCCATCTATCAGATGCCGTAAGATATTTATTGTCGCTTCTTACAATATCAAATGCCTATGGATAATAAATAGGGCGATGGGTTTATTTGTTAGTATTGTGTGTATCTACTAACTTGCCATGTCTTGTTGAGTATGTATGTAATAGCTTACATTATCATGGCTGAGTGTGTCGTTGCGTGACAGAATGTTTTAAGTGTCACTAAGTAATTAGTAATGTTAGAATCAATAAGTGCGTTGCAATGCGTTGAAATGGTTTTTTTTATATAAAATAATGGGTGAAAAACGAGCACACAGTACTGTCATAACTGCAATCATTGAGATCCAGCCGTGCCTGAAAGATAGTTGAGGATCTCTGTCGCATCATTACACATCACACAGATGTACATCAACATGACACGTTCTGTAGCATATATTCGCTTGAAATGCACCACGTCACTTTTAACGACTTTTATTTTCTCAGGAACACTTATCAACATACTTGAATATTTGCATCAAGTCATCTGTCGGTATCTGATGATCACGAGAAAACTTTAATACATACGCAGATTCAAATTCACATTTGTCGCATTAAAAAATCGAATAAGACACATGAATATGGACACTTTATAAAACCAGCTTTACTGGATTTCTGCACTCTGTATAGATTATTACTTAATACTTTATCACCATTATCTAAATTACATCCTTTCATAAGTCTAGGTCGTCACTCCATCTAGTGGGAGGTGGGTCGCCCTACACTTCGCCTATCGCTACGAGGTTGCCACTCGAGAACCTTTCTTCTCCATCGGTTGTCGGTTCTTCGAGCTATATGGCCAGCCCACTGCCATTTCAGCTTACTAATCCGTTGGGCTATGGCAGTTACTCTGGTTCTACTGCGGATATACTCATTTCTAAATTTATCACGCATAGACACCCCGAACATATTCATCTCCATAGCTCGCTGAGCGACCTTGAGCTTCCTCATATGGCCAGCAGTGAAGGACCACGTATCAGATCCGTAAGTCATCACTGGCAACACGCACTGGTTGTACAATTTCGTTTTCAGGTTTTGAGGTATGTCTAAGGAGAAGATGTGTCGTAGTTTCCCGAACGCTGCCCAGCTGAGTTGAATCCGTCGATTGACCTCTCGGTCGAAGTTGGACTTACCTAGTCGGACTATTTGTCCCAGGTAAACATACTCGTTAACAACTTCGAGCTTAGTGCTCCCAACAACTGCCGGCATAGGTGTGACATGGACGTTACACACGATCTTTGTTTTGTCCATGTTCATCTTAAGACCTATCCGTTGGGATACACTATTGAAGTCATTGAGTATCGCTGGAGGACCTCAGCACCATAGTGCTGAGGTCCTCCAGCGATTCTGCCATAAGGACTATATCGTCGGCAAATCAAAGGTGAGTGATGTACTCGCCATTGATGTTAATACCATATCATTTCCAGTCCAGTAGCTTGAAAAGTCTTCCAATACAGCGGTGAAGAGTTTCGGGGATATAACGTTACCCTGTCTTACACCTCTCTGCAATTGGATAGGTTTCGTATTCTGATTCTGTACTCGTATAGCCATCGTAGCTCTACTGTACAAACACTACAGCACTTCGATATACCGACAGTCAACTTAGCACCGCTGAAGGGACTGCAGCACCGCCCAAATTTCGACGGAATCAAAGGCTTTCATAGTCCACATACGCAAGGCAAAGTGGCAGAATATACTCCTCTGTCTTCTGTACAATCGGCCGCAGGGTACGTATGTGGTGTATGGTACTAAAGCCTTTTCGGCAACCGGCTTGTTCAGGATGCTAGAATTCGTCAAGTCTGAGTGCGAGACGATTCGTAATGACTCTTGAAAACAGCACGTAGACGCGGCTCAGAAGGGAAATCGGTCTGTACTTCAACTCCACGCCTTCGTTGTAATGCCACCATGGAGGACGGAATTAAAGAGCTTCTGAAGGACTTCCAGTACCGGTTTTCCACCCGCTTCCAGAAGCTCCGCTATAATTCCATAGTCGCCTGGGGCCTTGCCTTTTTTAAGGTGCT